GGCTAGTTTTTTGTATTTTTTTTTTGGTAGAGACGGGGTTTCACTGTGTTAGCCAGGCTGGTCTTGATCTCCTGACCTCGTGATCTGCCCGTCTCGGCCCCCCAAAGTGCTGGGATTACAGGTGAACTTTCTTTATCCTGTATTTTTTTATCAATGCTGATTATAAAACAGCTATTTTTTACTCTCCTTGGACTCTTTTGTCTTCCTCCTGCCTAATTGTTGAGAAACATTCTATAATTGCAGATCCCTGCTATTAGTCTGTTACATTACTCTTTTTTGAGGAATCATTTATCATTAGCTTTATGGCTCACCACTATGTTAACAACTGCTAGTCACAATTAATTCTATGCTACTTAAAAAAATTACTCTTATAATATCTTCCCTTTCTTGAGTTCTTTATTCTGATTAATTACTTGTGTGGCTCCACCTTGCCTTTATAAATTTTGCTTTTCCGGGGATTTATACAGAAGTGGGATATGTTGTGAGTCTTTCATTGTCAAAGATGATCTTGCTGTTGCTCTTTGACGAAAAGATGCCTCAGTAAGCTGTAAAATTTGAGCAACAGCCTTTTCCCCTCTAATGCCTAAGGTGATGGATGCTCCATTATTTTTAGCATGCCGGACTATTAGGTAACTGGATACAAAGTAATTCTCTTTCCTTTGAGATAACCATCTCTTCCCTCACTCCACCGTACCCGACTCTCACACATCTGGATGCTTATAGTTCTTTAAAATGTAATAATTTTGTGAGAATATGTTTAAAAGTGAATCGTCATTACTTTCTGTTTAATAACAATTTTATTGAGATATGATTCTCGATTTTATCAACACAATCACTCCTCAATTTCCAATGACAATACACATTAGAAATTTAGAGGTTTTTTAAAAAAACTATTATTTTTGCAAGGTTGCTTCAAAGGAGCCCATTTGCTATGGTTGCTCACAGTCTTTTGAATCTTCCCTTTTGGAACATCTTTCAACTTAAGGTCCTTTAAAATCAAATCCAAATTTCTCGATATGACACATAAGTCTGTAACTCTCTCGACTTTAAACATAGCACTGCTTCTTCAGAGAACAAACAATCTTGTCACTTAAGGAGAATTTCTTGATGCCCTAAGGCTGACTTAAATATTCGTCTGACATGCTCTCTTAAGTATATGTACTTCCACTATTATTCAATGTATTCTGTATTATAATTGCATATTTCATTGCCTGTTGCCTCAACTGCATTGTACCTTTTCAGGGGTGAGCCAGTGTCTTTTTCACTCTATCTCATTGCCCTGCACAGTTTCTGGCACAGACATTTCCATGTCTGGTGATTTTTTCCACATTGCTTACCCAGATAGTCTACATGTAACCAATACTGAGAATTGCGAGTGTTCTATCAAAAATGTTGTGGGTTTTTCATAAAAACTTTTAGGTTCTAGCAAAAGAAAAAAAGTGACTGCAGCTTAGATGACTCTCCTTGTCTATCACTGTGACCCACAGGCAGCTAGCACTGTCTGTTCTGCAGTTAGCCTGACTTTGCCGAGAGTAAACCATGTGAGAATTCTGAGCCATCACATGGGTATGTGTTTGTGCTGTGAGTGGGGGACTCTCTTCTCTAGTACCTATGTAATTACCAGAGGCTCCAGACATTTCAAAATATGTCCCCGCCCCTCTTCCACAACTACGCTGCAGTTCACCCAGGTCTCCAGCTCCTGCTGTTGTAAGCTGAAGGATATTTGTGAGCACTGGTCAGAGGCCCCTCTGTTTACTTTCCAGGTAGGGTCCTCCTTAGCATGGGATGAACCATAAGCTAACAGTTCTTGCTGGAAACAAGTTTTGTTAAGCTAGGCATTTGCATGGCACCTTTTCCTGGTGGTCTGCAGTGATAAAGACTTTTTCCTACTAAATTCATTTGGACACTTCAGAGGTGATACAATTGGAGTTGGATGGTGGAGGTGGTGATGAACGTTTGGCGTTTCATATATATGCTCAGGTCATCACCTTGAACCAGAAGCCCATCCAATATGCCCTGCAGCTGTCTGTTGTTGCCATATTGCTTTTCTTCCCTTTGATTCTATTGGCTTCATCTTGGAAAATATGCTAGATTCTTTATGCTTTTCTGGTTTCCCCATCAGGTTCTTCTTTTCTCTCCATGGGTTTGCCAGGTTCAGTCCTCAGCTATCCTTTCCTCTCTTTCTACATATATTTCCTGGGTAATATCTACTTCTTGGCTTCAACTACCACCTGTACCAGTGGTTCTCAAACTCCTCCCCTAAATATTGTTTATATAGAGATACACTTCCATTAGACACAGTGATTCTCAATCACAGGGACATCTTGAAATCTCAAAAGGAGCATTAAATAAGCAGTTCGTACATGTGGGGATCTTTGGTCTGAGACACCTGTCTGTTCCATTTCTGGTAAATGGCATCCATCATCCACTGAAATTGTCCATGCTAAAAGCCCTGAAGTCACCACTAGACTTGAGGACAGAGAGGGTGTCTCTCTTGTTCCCCACCATATCTAACAGAATGCCTAACACATAGCAGTTCAACAATATTTGTTGAAGCAATAAATTCAATTACTAAATTCTGTGATTTCCAATTCTTATATTTTCATCTCATTCACTTCTTTTCAACTTACACTATCAGTACTTTTGTTAAAATCACCACTATTGTTTACCTGGCTTACTACCATAGTTTCCTAACCTCCGACTCTGCTTCCTCCAACCCACCTCCATGCTACAGTTACCTTTTTCAGTTACAGGTCAATTCTTATTAACCTTCAATGTAAGGTCCTTTAAAATCAAATCGAAATTTCTCAATATGACATATAAGTCTTAACTCTCTTGACTTTAAGCATAGCATTCCTTCTTCTTCAAAAAACAAACCCAGATATAATTGTAAGGAGAATTTCCTGATGCCCTAAAGCTGACTTAAATATTCATCTGACATGCTCTCTTAAATATATGTACTTCCACTATTATTGAATGTATACCATATTATAATTGTATATTTGATTACCTGTCTCCCCTCAACTGCATTATACATTTTCATGGGTGGGCCAGTATCTTTTCGCTCTCTCAGTGCCCTGCACATTTTCTGGCACACAGTAAGCATTCCAGGAGTATCTGATGAATATATGTATTTCTAATTCAGGTTGAGTGTCCCTAATCTAAAAATACAAAATCTGAAATGCCATAAAATCCAAAGCTTTTTGGGGACTGACCTCATGCTCAAAGGAAATGCTCATTGGAGCATTTGGGACTTCAGATTTTCAGATTAGGGATGTTCAACCCATAAGAATAAAGCCAATATTCCAAAATTCAAAAAAGTCTGAAATCCAAAACACTTCTGGTCCCAGGTATTTTGGATAAGGGGCATTCAACCTGTATCACCATGGAAGCTGATAATTTTGAAACTACATAATGGGAAAGGGATCTGAACCCAGCTGGGATCCATAAATAGGTACCAGGGGTCCATGAATACCATGCAGTTGTTCCTAACATTTTGTGTTTACATACTTTTTTTTTTTTTTTTTTGAGGACTTTCAGGCTGTCAAAAACCAATAATTCTATAAATTTAAGAAATATTACTGTTGGTGTTTATTTGATCAGACAAGAATATGCTAAGTGTATTACAAACTAACAAAAACAAAAAATAACCATTACACACAAGACACAGACACACATGCAGGGATTTACTTAATCCTGTCAAGCCTTATGGTAAAATTACCAAAAAGGGACAAAAATCAGATGAGTTAGAGGGCTGCTGGAAGACTGAAGAAGAACAGATGATGCAAAAAAAGAATGTAGAAGGCAGAATAGAAAGAGAAAAGTTACCTCTGCTTACTCAGCCATTTATACAAGGTCCCTGTGCTGCCAGTACATGAAAGATTGGCTTCATTATAAAGTATGTCAGTGTCTGAAGACAGTAATGTAATTCTGAAAACTGCAAGCCGGGAGTGGTGGCTCAAGCCTGTAATCCACGCACTTTGGGGGGCCAAGGCGGGCGGATCATGAAGTCAGGAGTTCAAGACCAGCCTGGCCAATATGGTGAAACCCCATCTCTACTAAAAACACAAAAATTAGCCAGGCGTGGTGGCACGTGCCTGTAGTCCCAGGTACTTGGGAGGCTGAGGCAGAAGAATTGCTTGAACCCGGGAGGAGGAGGTTGCAGTGAGCCAAGATCCACCACTGAACTCCAGCCTAGGAGACAGAGCAAGACTCTCAAAACAAAAAACAAAAAACTAAAAAAACTGCAAACTTCAGCTTGCCCTAATGCTGCCCAACTTCAGGAGAATTCTGTTCTATAATCTAGTTGTCTTTTCAGTTCAGTCCAGTGAATCCCTGTTTAGACCCTGACCCTCAATAGTAGGAAGGAGAAAGAAAAGGCTGACAGTGGCCTCGGCAATAAGCAAGAAGGGGCAGGGATCAGAGTGGGCGACAGACTTCCTTACTTCTCAGGTGACCATCTTTCTCTGACTCATTCTACTCTTTCGTCTTTATTTATGGCATAGGTTATATACTTTTCTATTAGCAGGAATCTTGATACTATCTCATGCACTTTGGTAAAATGAGAAAATGTAATGTAAGTTCTGAAAAATACAGGTAGTTTTGAAAATTCTAGGTATAGATTTATGACTGTTGATTATGTTCAGCCTCATTAATTATTTACTGAAGGAAATGAGTATGATTTTTCTTTTTAAATTTGTAACTTTTTGTATCAGCACATAACATTTCATACTGCCTGGTTGGATTTTTTTTTTTTTTTTTTTTGAGACGAAGTCTTGCTCTGTCGCCCAAGCTAGAGTACAGTGGCATGATCTTGGCTCACTGCAACCTCTGCCTCCCGGGTTAAAGTGATTCTCATGTCTCAGCCACCCGAGTGGCTGGTACTACAGGCATGCACCACCATGCTCAGCTAATTTTTGTAGTTTTAATAGAGACGGGGTTTACCATGTTGGCCAGGCTGGTCTTGAAATCCTGACCTCAAGTGATCTGCCTGCCTTGGCCTCCCCAAGTGTTGGGATTACAGGAGTGACCCACAGTGCCCCGCCTGATTTTTAAAATGCTAATTTTTTATATCATAAGATGTTGTTTCAAATCCACTAAGGTATATAAAATACTGTGAGTTTCTTCTCAAATATGGTGACAGGCTTGATTTTGAGTGTTCTGATGCAACCTAGCCTAACTTCCTTTACCATAAAGTCTACAGAGTAGCTACTGATCTTACATCTAAGGTGGCTCAGTCCATGAAACCAACCTTGCCAATAGGGATGAAAACTGGACCCTCTTCCTCATTAACATCAAAGGAAAGTCAGAGGGTGGGAAATTTTCTCAAAGGGAATAAGTCATTGACTGGTTAATCAGAATCTAAATAATCAGGAATGGTCTGCAATTATTTGAATAACAATTTGGCCCCGTATCATTAAACATCAATATATGAGAACAGCTCTGTAATAATGTACAGGAACAGGAGCCTCATGATTTTGATATATGCACTAATAATCCCACAGTGTCTTACTGCAGAACTCCAATTGTATACATAAACAAAACTGTGATTGTCAGAACAATTAAATAAGAATTTTTAAGGAAGTTTGTAAAAAATAAGTCTTTTCAAGGTTCTGTATTTACTTATCCTATCTGAAATTTATGTAAAGTCTTAATCTACTATTTAAAAATATATTATTTTAAATCTTAAAACAAATGGAGAACTATTGTGGGTAAATTCCCAATAAATTCATGGTGAGATTTAGTTATCAATTATTCTGGCTGGGAGCTGGTGGGAAAGGGGGAGGCACAGGAAAGAAAAGAAAAAAAAAATGCTGTTTAACGAAGTCCCAGCTAACAGTGCACCTATTTGATACACCATTCATTTTTTTTAAAATTCCAGGATTCGCTTAAGAGTTATAATGGGTTTGCCCTGCTATCTATGCTGATATCCTTCTTGGCAAGGGATTGCTGTTAATAATTTATTGAAATATGGTTTCAGTTCCGTTATATTCATAGATAAGTTGAACATGTCACAGAGAACTTGTGCTTTATTTTTTTCTATAATTTACATGGAACTTGAAACCCTTTGAAATGCCATTGGGACTGTTTTGAGGAAAGACAGATAGACGGAAATGGAATAAAAAGTTTCTATAACCTCGTTCACTGCCTGCTCTACTTGCATTCTTATCCTTAATCTTGTTGAAATCACTGTGTCTTCCATCTTCTTTAGTTTTCACTGCTGCAAGAGAGACCCGGGTTAGGAGGGGACTTGAATATGATGCCAGGATCAATACTGACAGCGAGATGAGGACCAGAAGAAGCTGTGAAGCCAGGACTAGAAATGAGGTGTTGGAAGTCCTCATGATCTAGCATCTACAATACGTATTCTCTTCATCCATACAGGTGTGGAATTTGCAAAATTAATCAGAAAATATTCACTCAGAAGAGGTCAACTGTCATGGGGTAATATAACTTAGTACTCTGTAACTGGAATGTGCACATTATTAGGGAGTTCTTAACATATCACTTCTGAGAACTCTAGTGTGAAATGGAAAGGAAACATGGCACACAACGATGCAGACGGGCATCACCTGGGGAATCCAGTACCCCATGCCAACAGATGGCCACAAGGTAGTATTTACCTTGATGAGCCTTGCAGACTCTGATACCCAGTCTCACTGACTGGACTCAGGAATGCAGATTCATGCTAACAAAACTCACAAGACACTGATGTGTTGAGAAAAAAAGAATGTGACTTTATTAATTCACAGTGAACAATAGAAGAATAGGGCATAACTGAATTACTCTATCAGCCTGATAGTGAATTATCGCCTTGAGAAGGCAATTTCCAGAGGGAAGCTTGGTGTGTGTGGAAGCAGAGCAAGTGAAGTTAATTATGTAGGATTCCAGTGCCACAGGGGTTAGATACCTACCAGGTGTACTGAATGCTTGCCTCAATCAGGCAGGTGTTGTTGATCTGACAGTGCTTTGTTAGGAACCATAACAATGACATTAATAGCTTTACGTTTTCTCTGTTTTAGAGACAGAAAAACTGCTAATCTGATGGAGACTGTGTGAGTGTGTGTAAGATTACGTCAATGCTCTCAATTAGGTTATGGTAAAAACCTTACTCCCCAAAGAATCTTTATGTCTCTTAAGATTATGTTGCCTCTCTTGACCTTAATCTGTTAGGTGTTCACTTCTCAGTTTACTTTTCAGAGGGTAATTTCATGTCCCTGCTGCCTGGGATCAAGAGAGGCACCACATGGTGAACTCCACATTTGCCTACAGTTCCACAAAGTGTTGTTTAAATTCAAATCAACCTGCATTTACTGTGCCAACTTTATGCTTGCTGCTGTGCCAGGTACAGAAGAAGATTAAAAAATGTAACAAGAGCCTCAGAGGAAATGTGTAACTGCTGGGTGCCTATAGCCTTTTGTTCTACTTAAGGTACATTTACTCATTCAGTTTTCACCAGTATTTATAGACCCTCTCCTATGTACCAATATTTAGTAGGTACAAGAAATGTAAAAATAAACATAGACAGGTCTTGTTCCTTTTAAGAGTCTAGCAAAGGAGCAAGATCAGACAAAAAAAAAAAAAGAAAGAAAGAAAAGAAAGGTACCGTACTGAGTGGTATAGAGCATGGTGGAGAGAGTGCTTTCCTATCAGTGGGCAGAGATGCTAGTCAAGTCTTTTCAGAAATCTGATTTTAAAACACACTAAATGATGACAATTGTTTAAAAATTTAATTGCAGTGGTATAAAGCAAAAAGTCTAAGTTCCTTCCTTGCTCCTTCCCCATGCCCTTCCTGTCTCTCAGAGCTGCCCTCAGTGAGTAGTTTAGTGAGTACCTCCAGGTCTTTTTCTAAGTATATGAAACACAAACATGCAAACATTTCCATTCCCAACATACACACATTTATATATACATACACATAAATTTATATAGTTATTATCTGTGTAAAATGTATATATTACAAACCCCTATTTACATAATATACACACACGCACACTCATTTATAAGAAATACACATGTATGGGATCATATGATATATATATAGTTTTGCAACTCGTCCTTTTACATTTAATCCTTTGTCGTAAATTATAACATGTACATAGAAAAGTGCACAAAATATATACATTAAATTTAGAAAATAATTATCCTGTACAGCTACCAGGTCTATTACTAGAAACTTCTGAGCACCCCAGAAACTCCCTGACCTCACCACCTCCAAATCATTGTGCTGAATTCTATGTTAAGCGCAAAAAGTTTCAGTTCTCCAATTCTTTCTGAATTTTTCACTTGCCTTCAGATTTTAGCCTTTAATTCCTTTTCTTTTAAGCCCTTTGCTGCTCTGAGGATGTTTTCTTATACGTACTCAACAGTTTCAATTATTTTTCAGCAAGAAGATTGTTCAAATAACCTAACTGCCATATTTCCAGGAATAGAAATCTGTGTTGCTTCTCAATTTCTTCCTTGTGTTAACATTATATGTAAAAATGTGGACTCTTACCTACTAGGTCATAACTTCTTAGGGATTAGAAGGCAAGCATCTTTTATTTCCCATAGCAAAAATAGTGAAATATGCAATAAATGCACCAAGAGTAGAGAATAATGGAATGGAAAAGAGAATGAGTATGTAACTATTCCTGCTCTTGAGGACTTCCCATTTTCTTTTCCAAGGGAAGATAAGATGTGTATGAATAAAACAATTTTACATGAAACAATTTGAGGAAATAAAGAGGTATATTTAAACACAATTCTTTGTATTCACTGACATGGAAAGATTTCCAATATACTTTGAAATAAAAACAAATGGCATAGAATGGTATATGTGTATAAAATATAGTGCTATGTATCTATATATAAATCTATATATAAACTCTCATGTGTGCACAGGTGTGGGTGTATGCATGGCTATGCATATTCTTGCTTATGCACAGAAAAATGACACATATTCTACAAACTGGGATTGGGGTCAGATGAGTTATCTTTTCATCTTTCAAATATCCTATATAATAGTTTTGCCACAAGCATATATAACTTTTATAGTCAGGAAGAAAACATATTAAGAAATACATGCTCAAGGGCAAACAGATATGATAATGGAAATCAAGACGAAAAAATGCAGGCAGATATAAATTCTTGGGAAAAGTTTTTAGGATTTTTTTTTTTTTTTTTTTTTAATTGAGATAGTCTCACTCTGTTGCTCAGGCTGGAGTGCAGTGGTGCAATCTCGGCTCACTGCAACCTCTGCCTCCCGGTTCAAGTGATTCTCCCGCCTCAGCCTCCCAAGTAGCTGGGATTACAGGCGTGTGCCAACACGCTAATTTCTTTAGTAGAGAAGGGGTTTCACCATGTTGGCCAGGCTGGTCTCAAACTCCTGGCCTCAAGTGATCTGCCCGCCTCAGCCTCCCAAAGTGCTAGGTTGCTTGAGTCACCATGCCTGGCCAGGGAAAAGCTTTTTGGAAAAGGCAGGACTTGAAATGGGCTCTGTAGGACTGGCAGTGTTTGAATTAGAGGACAGAGGTGGCGGGGGATGGGGTGGGGTTAGGTGAACAAGAGTTGTGTTTTGAGTAGACCTTAGGGAAGAAATAAAAATGGTATCTGAAGAGGGCCATAAGGAAGCTGGCTAAAGCTAGCTCCAAGTTTACATTGACAGAGATGATTGAAAGGGCATAACAAAGCCACTGCAGAAAATGTGGCACATCATCAATATTAAGTTTATAACTGGCTTGATGGGAAACAAAAGTCATTACAGGTCATTTTACAAGGTGTATATGAGATAATATAAACCTCATGGGGTAGTTTGTATAAAATGAGACAAAACATGTGAAAATCCCTGGTAATTTGCCAGTAATTATAGGTTTCAATATTATAATAAAGTTACACTTTATGGAGATTATCCGGGCATTCTTGTATGAAATGTATTACAGAACAAGAAAGACTCAGAGCAAGAAGATACCTTTGCAGCGTAATATATTTGAAAAGGCCTGCCTAGTTTTCACAATCTGAAAAATACAGATAACTGTCTTAACTCACAAGATTACTATAAGGATTAAATGTACATAAAATGGTATGGCCAAAAAGTATGTATTCATTTCTTCTCAACTGCTATTAGTCTAGATGAATGTTGATAAAAATCAGAACTTATACCCTGGTCAAGGACCTGGAAAAGTTAAAGCCCAGAGAATTTTTTTTTTTTTGAGACGGAGTCTCGCTCTGTCGCCCAGGCTGGAGTGCAGTGGCAGGATCTCGGCTCACTGCAAGCTGTGCCTCCTGGGTTCACGTCATTCTCCTGCCTCAGCCTCTCGAATAGCTGGGACTATAGGCGCCTGCCACCACACCCGACTAATTTTTTGTATTTTTTTTAGTAGAGATGGGGTTTCACCATGTTAGCCAGGACGGTCTCTATCTCCTGACTTCATGATCCGCCTGCCTCAGGCTCCCAAAGTGCTGGTATTACAGGCATGAGCCACTGTGCCCGGCCAGATATTTTTCTAAATAAATAATCAATAGAGATCTATTTATTAGATGTAGAAAGTGAAAGTGGAAAAAGTGAAGATTTCTAGGTTTCCAGGAAGGGAGACTGGTGGAATGGTGATGTGTCTGACACAAACCAACCTAGATCTGTGATTACAATATATTTGTATGACAGTCTTATCATGAGTTTCATCTCCTCCATCTGTTTTCCCTGCCCCAACTCACAACCTTCCTTGTATTAATATAAAGATGTCTTGGAATATTTTAAAACAAAAGTGCATTTACATTCATTTCATTTTGGAAAAAAATTCAAGCATGCATAAAAACCTTAAAATAATTGAGACATACAAAATTACTATATATTCAATTTATCGCAGTGGGCAAAACTTACCAATACCTTGTTACAAGTAAAAAAACTCCACATGTGACTTTAAGGAATAAAAATCCTACATAAATAAAATATTTAACAGAATTAAACATCTTTAGGGTTTAAAATTATTTGTATTTGTTCTTACAAGAACCAGAACATAAAATTATGAAAAATTTAAAAAGATCAACAAAAATTAATCACAAAAGTGGTTCTGATTTACTGTGCTTTAAAAATTCTTTTCTTCTAAGTGGATTCTGACTTCTAAATTACATGTTACGATCCCAGAATGTAGCTTAAAGCCGGGTTTATCACAGCTTTACAGTATTCCCAAAGTCTAAATTACATGCCTATGTTGCCTAGCTGGAGGACAAAAAGTTTTAGTA